AAAAAAAAAAACAATACAAAATTAGCTGGGTGTGGTTGTGCATGCCTGTAATCCCAGCTACTGGGAAGGCTGAGGCAGGAGAATTGGTTGAACCTAGGAGTTGGAGGTTGCAGCGAGCCAATATTGCGCCATTGCACTGCAGCCTGGGAAACAATAGCAAAACTTCGTCTCAAAAATACAAATTGAATTTTAGATAAACAATGAATAGTTTTTAGTATTTAGTACCCTAACTCCTAACTATTGAATATTTTTAAGCATGTCCCATAAAATATTTGAGACTATTTACACTAAAAACTATTCGTTTTATCTGAAATTCAAATTTAACTAAGTGTGCCGTTTTTTCATCTGGCAACCTTATTGCTGGGGAAAGTTACTTGGTCTAACCCCTTCATTACTCTGCAGAACAAGGGACTCCAACCTGGCTGATGAGAACATGCCCTTAGGGTTGACTACATGGAATTATAAAGTTACCATGATCACGGTAAAGGGAGAATTGAACCTTTCTTCTGCTCCATGGATTTCCATTCTGTCTCTCACACTACAAAAAGCATTTAAATATATTTCCAGTTATTCAGAGTGGTAATGGATTAATTTCAGTAAATAAAGAGAATATTTCATTTAGATCTCTAAGGTTAGGATTTGTGTGTGTAGGGGCTAAGATCCTAGGATTAACCATATAGATTTATAAACCTAGAGAACTTGTTTCTCTTGCTAGGTTTGCTCTTCCTAGTGAGGAATGAGCAGGCTTGATTTTGTAAAGCAGTTGGAGGACTTGAAAAATGCTGAATGAACATATTTTTTCCTAATGAAGTTATCACCCACAATGAAGTAACCTACAAAGGATGACCTCATTGTTAGGCTTTGTAGGACTTGTCATACTATGTCAGATCTCCAGGGTGGAAGTCTGACTAATGGAGGCTAGAGTAGTAGTACTTCAGAGCTGGGTTGAAAACAGCAGTGTTTCCCTGAGTCTACTTTAAGCACTCATGGAAAGAGCATTCTTTTCAGCATCAGCTGATGCTCTGCAGCACAAGATTCTATTACCCTCATTTGAGCTGCCTGGTTATTCCAGCAATCAGATCTTTCTGTCTCCTTCCTGTTACTTGGCCCTGACACCAACTGTCATGTGCCCTTTTTGCCTTGACTCCCAGGCATAAAGCTCCTTTCATTTTTTTTAACCCCAAATGCTAGAATATTGGAATTTCTAGGACATTTACATGGCTTCTGATGACAATGGAGAATATCTGCAATCGGGACTGTCCTGTAAAATCTAGGGCATGTGTGGTCCCCCTTGTCAACACATTTCAACACTTGTTCTCTGACAGTTACCTAGGACAGCAAGGATATTCAGAAAGGAGAGAGGCCTGGGAGTCAGAAATTCTTCTCATCATGGGTTTTAGTCATTGCTTTGCAGTCAACTCTGGGCAAATTACTACATCTATCTTTGTCCTATATCAGTTTTTGACCCCTTGTTTTTGAAGCCCCCATAACAATTATTATTATTATTTTGAGATGGAGTCTCGCTTTGTCACACAGGCTGGAGTACAGTGGCACAATCTCAGCTCACTGGAACTTCCGCCTTCCAGGTTCAAGCGATTCTCCTGTCTCAGACTCCCAAGTAGCTGGGATTACAGGCACACACCTCCATGCCCGGCTACTTTTTTGAATTTTAGTAGAGACAGGGTTTCTTCATGTTGCCCAGGCTGGTCCCGATCTTCTGAGCTCAGGGGATCCACCTGCCTTAGCCTCCCAAAGTGCTAGGATTACAAGTGTGAGTCACTGCAACCAACTGCCTGTAACAATTATAGAAAGCAAAGCAATAGGAAATAATTTTCAACTAACTTTGGCTATCTTAAAATGTAAGTTATGAATCCTAGTGTTAGTAACATAGCACACTGGCCTTCCTTACTTTGAAGCAGGAGAAAAGTTAGGGAAAACAAGGGCCTTCAAGATTTTACCATTTTAGGCTGGGCACATTGGCTCATATCTATAATTCCAGTACTTTGGGGAGGCAGGAGGATGGCTTGGGCTTAGGAGTTTGAGACCAGCCTGGGCAACATGGCAAAATCCCATCTCTACGAAAAAACTCCACACAAACTATACGGACGTAGTGGTGCATGCCTGAACTCCCAGCTACTTGGGAGGCTGAGGTAAAGGAAAATTGAGCCTGGGAGGCAGAGTTTGCAGTGAGCTGAGATCACATCACTGCACTCCAGCCTGGGCGACAGAACGGGACCCTGGTATCTGCTCTAAGAATGCAACTTGTAAATTTCAAGTCTGAACCCAACCTGGATAGAACTAGTGTCTAATTTCTGGAAAAAATAAAAGGAGGTAGGGCTTATAAACTAAAGAAAATGATTTACTTTGTCAGACAGCAGTAATAGAGGGCACTTTTTCTGTAAAATAGTGACTCCTTTTCTCCTCTTCCACCTCCTCCATTCCTTTGATTCTGTCACCATCTCCTGCATGTACTGATATCCTCTTACATTGAGATAAGACAGTAATGAATCACTTTAGCAAAAGTACATAAAGCTAAACAAAGCTGACATCGTTTGGCATCTCTTGGCACCGAGAAACATCGGGATAGAGCACAGCAAGAAAGAATTCAGGGTTTCCTGATACAGAGTTACCAAAACTGTGGCCTCCACTTCAAAGCTAATGTAGGTTTGTGGCAAGAAGAATATAAATCTCTCTAGAATGGTTTAAATTGTGCCTTTTTGCCTAAAAAGTTTTGCCTTTTTTTTTTTTTTTTTGACCTGCCCTAATTCCTGATGTCAGGTCCCTAGGGTATTTGTGCTATGCCTCATTCTTAGTGAATTTATATTTTATACAGTGTGATCACACTTTGAACTAAAATAGACCATATCCAGAAACCTGCCGGTGCTCATTTCTAAAGAATATGAGCAGTTTGAATTGCTTTTTGTCTCTTTGGCTTCTTCTTGAATCACTTCACCAAAATAGAGATGTTACCATCAGATTTTATTTTATTTTTTAAAAAAGGCACTAAATCCCAAAGGCTAGCCTCCATGCCAAGACAATTTTTCTAAAACATGTATTCTGAAAATGAAAGGGTCTCAGATGCTTACCTTATGGTTTCTCTTCAGCTCTAGAACTGTTTGTTTATTTGGGACACTATGACTTTTGGTTCAGTCCATGAACAAGCAGGTCACAAGCCAATTTTTAGCTCCCTTATACTTTTTAAGTATTTATTAATCTTGACTCCTATGCAAACTGTAGAAAGGCTGGCAGCAGAAGATTCTTATCCTTAGTTATTTATGTGGCTAGGACTCCAAAGCAAATTGCTCTCTCAAAGTGCAGGGAGGCTAGCAGCAGAAGATTCTTATCCTTAGTTATTTATGTGGCTAAGACTCCAAGGCAAATTGCTCTCATAAAATCACACCCCATGAGATGTGATTCTGCCAGATTAGCAGGCCTTAATGTCTTGGGTCTCTTCTCTTCACCCCACCCATAACCTGGGTTAAGCTTATTCTCTTTGCTGGGCCTTGAATCACATATTGGGTGGGGAATAATTCTGATGTCAATTCTTCTTTTCAAGGATTTAAGAAGCAAACAGAAATAGAGCCAAGGGTGAAGAAGCTGAGCCCCCCTGACTTGCCAAGCTGCTGAGACTTCTAATCTTCTTGGCTGCCCCATTGGTCTGGTTCAACCTTAGCTCATGCTGATTTTTTTGGATTTGACATCAAGGCAAACATCATTGCAAACTCAATTCCAGCATGCCAGCTCCAGAACAGTGTAACCTTTGAAGACTCGGGATTTCACCTGGTGCAGTGGCTTATGCCTGTAATCCCAGCACTTTGGGAGGCTGTGGTGGGTGGATCGCCTGAGGTCAGGAGTTTGAGACCAGCCTGGTCAAAATGGTGAAACCGTCTCTACTAATAATAAAAAAAATAGCTGGGCATGGTGGCATGCACCTGTAGACTCAGCTACTTGGAAGTCTGAGGCAAGAGAATCGCTGGAACCCAGGAAGTGGAGGTTGCAGTGAACCGAGATTGTGCCACTGCACTCCAGCCTGGGTGACAGAGCAAGACTCCATCTGAAACAAAGAAAGAAAGAAAGGAAAGAGAAAGAAGAAAGAAAGAAAGAAACAAAGAGAAAGAAGAAAGAAAGAAACAAAGAGAAAGAAGAAAGAAAAGACAGAAAGAAAAAGACAGACAGACTTGAGATTTCAGAAGAAACGTTATAGTAGCATTCCAGAGACCCACGCATCAGACACAGACATACGCCTTCTTGTTTGCAGCAGAGGGTATTGGCTATCATATGAATTGGCTCCCTAACTTATATTTTGCAAAGCCCTGGTGGCTAACCCTTCATAACAGGACATAGCCAAACAGGTCATCTCAGTTTGAAGATAATCAACAAAGGGGTTAGGTTTGGTCTTGCCATTGTCAGTCCTTTAGAATTGGTAAACAGACCTGCAGAAGTAGTTGTGAAAAGGGAAGCAGAAGTACTGAAGAAAAAAAAAAAAAGAAAGGCTATAAAGGAAGTGAGAAAGGTGGAAATGTATAACTTTTTCAACTTCCTGATGGAAAGATACCAAGAAAAATAAAACTCTTTCTGACCAGATAGGACCTTTCTTTGGCCACATTTTGATGTGCATAATGTCATATTGCTATCCCCAAATAAATACAACTATGTATCTATCCATCAATCAATCTATCTAATCTATAGCTCACATATTATCACTTATGTCAAATTAAGTTATGCATCATTATAGCAGACATTTTAAGGCATGTGAAATTAATCTACTTTCATGAAGAACACAGGATGGGTAGGCAGCATTCTATCTACTCACATTTCCAACTGCCATTACAACAGCCATTTTAAGTTACAGAAGAGTCAAGGCTGGGATCTCATGGCATCACTTCCCATGAATTGTTCTCCGACTTTTTGTGTTCCTGGCTTTTGGAGCCCCTTCACCATATTCCGCAGGTAAGACACACATTAGTGGAATTCGAGTTATAATTTGTATGCTTGAAATTGACATTGAAAGCCATAATTTCTAAGTCAGGGAGGCTAAATAGTAACTGTAATGCTTTGTTTTGATGTAACTTGGTGGTTTTGTAATGGTCTCTCAAACTCTCCACATATTTCTCTGTGTTCCACAGCCAGGGTTTCTCTTCTTCCTGCCTGAATATTTTTGCTCCCTAATCCAATTTCCTTTACATTCTCTTTGCTGTGAAATACTTCTTTCGATGACTTACATTTGCTCTCTATATATCCTTTACTTCAACCTTTTACCAGTCCTGCAATGAAGACCATTATCACATTAAGTAAGTAATAGGCTTTTTTGGCTAGGCTCGGTGTCTCACACCTGTAATCCCAGCACTTTGGGAGGCTGAGGTGGGCGGATCATCTGAGGTTGGTTCAAGACCAGCCTGACCAACATGGAGAAACCCCGTCTCTACTAAAAATACAAAATTAGCCAGGCATGGTGGCATATGCCTGTAATCCCAGCTACTCTGGAGGCTGAAGCAGGAGAATCACTTGAACCTGAGAGGTGGAGGTTGTGGTGAGCTGAGATCCTGCCACTGCACTCCAGGCTGGACAACAAGAGCAAAACTATGTCTCAAAAAAATAAAAACAAAATAATAGGCTTTTTTTTTTTTTTTTTTTTTT